TTTTTTTTTCTCTAGTGATTATAGGCATACTTGGCTGGTCTTTTTCTAATTTCTGGGGATGTTTTGTAAATATGTTGATTTTGGTTAATTCCTTCTTTTTGGGTTTGTGTGTTTATTTTATTGCTATAAATTGACCTCGCACTGCTTTTGCTTTGTCCCAAAGATGTGTTTTTCATTCTCATTTGCTTCAAGGAATTTTACAATTTTGTTGACTTGTCCTATTACCCAGTAACATTGAGGCAGGGTGTTATTCGACCTCTGTGCTTTGATTTTGTTTCCTTGATCTTTCCATTGTTGATTTCTAATGTAATAGCGTTGTGATCTGAGAAGATGGTTTGTAGTATTTTGATGTTTTAAAATTTGAGGTTTGCTCTGTGGCCTAACATATGGTCTATTCTGGAGTCTGTTTTGGCTTAGTGGGGCACATCTTCCTGTAGCTTTTTGAGAAAGGCCACATGACAGGTATATTGTTGGAGACCTTGTATATTTGAAAACGCCATTATCCTGTCTTTTTGTCATTTGTTCCCGTATTTTCTTTAATTAATACTTCAGTTGGTGAAATTCTGGAATGAAAATCAAGTTTGAAAATTATTTTCACTTAAAATTTTGATGGTTCACTGTTAGAGGTAGCACAGTCTACAAAACTGTCCTTACTTGTAGCACCCATTGCATGTTTGGAGTCCCCAAGACCAGACTTCAGTGTGATCATTTGCTGGAAGGGGTGACAACTTACTGAAGGCTCTTGTGTTTATGGTTTCAGGAAACGGTACAGATTCTAATCAACCAAAGGAAGAAATGCGTGCGGTGGAGTCCAGGAGGGTTCCAAATGAGCACCTTCCAGTTGTCCTCTCCTCATGGACTTCTGGACAGTGCTGACTTAAGGAGTCGCCTGTTCAGTTGATCTTTAATTTCCAGGTCCTCCAGATGTAGAGCTCCTACCCTTGGTCTGTAACACTTTTGTTGTTGTTGTTGTTGTTAAGTATCCTCGAGTTGGTTCTAACCCATAGCGATCCTGTATAGGGTTTCTGAGGAGCAGGCTGGTGAGCTTAAACTACCGACCTTGCAGTTCAAACTGACTTTGCAGTCCTGTGCATTAACCCACAGTGCCACACCAGGACTTCAACACTTCGGTAGGTAGAACTAATACCATGTGACTGACATTTAGTCTCTAACCCCTCCAGAGATAGAATGGATACCACATGGCTCCTGTCATAAATCACAGTGTTAGACTGTCTAGTGGCCAATGTCTCCAGGTAAACAAAACAAAACACAACAAAAAACCAAGCTCATTGTCATTAAGTGCGTGATGACTCATGGTGACGCTGTAGGGTAGAGGAAGACTGCCCCCAAAGAGTTTCCAAGGCTGTCAGATAAGCGCTAGACTGATCATCTCAAGGTTGGCAGTTCAAACTCAGCCTCTTCGTGGAAGCTGTCTGCAGGGTCTCTGTGAGTCAGAACCAACTCCACTGCCCTCAAAGTCTTTATAGAAGCGGATTACCGTCTCTTTTTTCCTGTGGAGCAGCTGGTGGGTTTAAACTGCTGAACTTTCAACTAGCGGCCAAGCACTTAACCACGGTGTCAGTAGGGCACTTTTCCAAGGAAAGGCACCCTTTCTCACCAGGCAGTCCCTTCTAGAGACCTAGAGATCACCTCCCGGTTGCTGAGGGCAGTGGCCAGAGCTGTGTAGCGTCTTTGCTACATAGATGGCATGTTCCTTGATCTTCAGCCATCAGTGCTGTTATAGAGAAGTCTGATGCCATTATTATTTGTGATACTTTATAATGTGCTTTATTCTTGATCCATCAGACTTATAGGAATTCTTTTTATTACTGATATTCTGAAGTGTCACGAGGATGACTCTTAGCGTGGGTCTTTGTTTCTTGTGTTGGATCATCAGAGTGAGAGATTCCATGTCTTTCCTCCATGATAGTTTTGCGTGGTGTCTCTTTGATGGGTCCCTGCCCTCCTTGTTGTCTTTGTGATACTCCTTTTGATTATTTACCAGGCCTTTCCCACCCACCTCCCCTGCCCCTGCCCCATCGTTCCTTTCATTTTCACATTCTTCTACTTGGTTTCCAGCTGCTTTGGAATTTCTTACTTATGTTTTGCTTCTCTAAAGCACATTCTTACTTCCTCATTGATCCGTTTGACATTATTTATTTAAGTATGATTTCCACTTTATTTTCTTGCAGGTTAGTTTTTCTTCAGCCTTTAATGACTCAGATCTTTACATGGGCTTTGGTGGAGGTGGTGGGGCAGCACCTGCAGGACTGAATTGGGCTGGGGTGATTGGTCCTTCTGGACCACCTTGCTGTGAATGGTACAGCTCAGTGTTTGTCTTTGGGTACACAGCAGACACAGGTCTTGTAGCCAACAGACTGCGCGTGACCGAGGCCCCTTTTTGGCCCTTCTTGAAAGCCAGAATCCAAGAAAGCTCCTTTTGACATTGCTGTTGTTAAGTGCTGTTGAGTCGGTTCCAACTCATAGTGACCCTGTGTAGGGTTTACTAGGAGCAGCTGGTGGGTTTGAACTGTCGACCTTGTGGTGTGCAGTCCAGTGCTGATCGTCCAGCGCCACACCAAGATGTTATCCTGTTCTCATTTCTCTAATCACTTTGAGGAGGTTGCTTGTGAGAGTCTCTCTCCATCCTGCTCAGGCTTGCTCTCAGATTTCAGAGTCAGATCCTACCACAGGTTCTGAAGAGCTCTGGCTGTGGGTAGGCTTTGTGAACTGGTGGGTTTCCCCGGGCCGTCGGTCAGACAGCAGGCAGGCTGTGTTGAGGACTAGAGGCAGGCCTTTCCTGTGGATCCGTGTAGAGCCGGGACCTCTGTCTCCTGCATGGGGGGCAATATTCGGGGGGCTGCTGGGCTTTGGGATGCATTTATTCTTCAATGTGTCAACATCTCTCATCCCTCAACTCTTCCATCCCGTGCCTAACGACCAACCTTGCCCTTTCTTCCCCTAGGGGAGGCTACTGGAGTTGCTGGGATCAGTGGGGGGTTGGGAAGAGTTTGGAATTGAGTCCATCTGTCTACTCTCTGTAGCTGCGTCCCATCCACCTGTAGCTCCGGCCAGAGGCCCACGTCCTGACCATCGGGCAGTTAACAACACAAATTGGCTCTTTCTTGTCAAGCTCCTTCTGCAGTTCCTTAGAGCCCCACTTCCCACCTCCTACTGACGCTTCTGTCACCACAGCCCCATCTTCCAAACTCGCTGAGACACACTTCTCCTTTGTGGTGATTCCTTTATGGTTCTTTTTTTGGTGGTGGTGGGGGTGTGTGATTTTAGAGTGGAACAGAATTAAGTGTTAATCTTATTTATTACGTTTTCTCCTTTTTATAAACTTTTCTTCCTACATGCTTTTGGTGGAATATTTAGGAAACTAAAGGAGAAGGCACAATTCTGCCATAATAGAACACACAGGCCGAGCAGGTATGGGAGGGAGAGTGGAAGAAGCACACCCACGAATATCTTTCTAGGCTTGATGGAGGATATTAGTACACAAGTATTTACCTTTGCTGTAAATATATCCATGAAAGTGGTTGGAGCAGACATGGGGGAAAATTATCAAGACGTCTTAGACATAACCAGACACCTTGAGGGAATGAGTCATTAGGCTTGGGGGCGCAGGACCATAGTCTCAGTAGACACACATCATTGGATGTAACAGAGCCCACAAAGACAATGTTGTGCATCCTACTTTGGTGAGTAGCAACTGGGGTCTTAAAAGCATGTGAGCGGCCAACTAAAGTGCAAGTATTGGTCTCTCCCTGTCTGAAGGAAGAAAAGTGATGAAAATCAAAGATACATGGAAACAGTTAGTCCAATGAACTAATGGACCACATGAGCATCAGTCTCCACAGCCTGGAGACCAGAAGAACTAGATGGTGCCCAGCATCCACTGCCAACTGCTCTGAAAGGGAGGGATCACATTAGAAGGTCCTGGATAGAGTGGGAGGAAAATGTGGAACAAAAGTCACAATTATAAAAAGACCACACTTACTGGTCAGAGACTGGTGGAACCACCAAGATTGTGGCCCCTTGGTCACCCTTCAGGTGTGGAGCTGAACTCACCCCAGTGGCTCAGTTTTCAGCCAGACAATAGACAGGCTTACAAAGGGAGCAGTGACACTAGGCAGGTACACGTGCCTTAGACAAACCAACCATTCGAGATCCAAAGGGCGAAGCTCAGAGTGGGTAGGAAAGAAGGAGGGCTGGAAGCAGGACACACAGGGTGAAAGTGGGATGGGTGCTGTCCCATTGTGGGGGCTGCAATCAGTGAGATAAAACAAAATGTGTATGAATTGTTCAGTGGAAAACTGATCTGCTATGTATACCTTCATCCAATTCATAAGAAAAAGTTTTGTTTTTTTTATTTAAAAAAAGGTAAAAGTAGAGGAAAGACAATGCCAGACCACCACGGCCAATCATTTTATTTTCTAGACCCGGTCTTTCTATCTGAACCTATCTCTAGTATTTATGTGTAACTTCCTGTCCCCTTACCATAAGCATACTTGCATAACTGACCCTTGTCAGACAAGCCCCACAGCCAATGAGCACCAACCCCATGAAGGGCTTCTTCCGGGGAAAGATCTCCAACCATGTGGGGCCCTCGCTCAGAACAGCCCTGGGCTCATCTTTGGGGCTAGAGGTACAGCAACTGACCCAAGATGCTCTGGGGCTCTGAGTCAGTTTGGACCCACAGGGTTGGAAAAAAACAATCAGAGAAATGAGTTTGGAGGAGCCAGTGATCCCATGGGTGTGCCTAGTGTGTGGATTTGATCCCAGCAGAGGGGGTCTCTTCCGTGCACTGAGTCCCCGCATCCTTTCCCTCCCTCCAGGGATGTCTCTACAACAGTTCTTTACCCTTGCCTTGCTCAAGCACCACTTAGCGCCGGGATGAAGGCTGGAGCCGAGCTGGGTACGAGTTGAGATGGAGGAGGGAATGACATGCCTGCCCCCATGGGCTGTGCCTCAGCTCCCGTCTCCCCCACCCCCAGGTGTTTGACAGCACCCCGGCGGCCTTGGATGGCACAGTGGCAGCTGGAGATGAGATCACCGGTGTCAATGGCAGGTCCATCAAGGGGAAGACCAAGGTGGAAGTGGCCAAGATGATTCAGGAGGTGAAGGTAAGGGCACCGATATTCCAGCCTGCCGGAGGCCCTGCACAGAGAGCTCAAAGGGGGCCAGCCTTGTCTCTCACTGCTTACCTTGTCAGCACACCTGGGTCGGGATCACACACAAGCCCTCCTCAGGCCATCCCTCCTCCAGTCAGTAACTGCGCCTGGGCTCCCGGGCTCCTGCTAGGCTCTGGCCAGAGAGTGGCAATGAGACCACCAGGGCCCTGCACTCTTCGGGCTCCCAGGGGAGCCGACAGGCTGGAGTCTTGCCTCAGGGCCAGCTAGCGTGCCTCCAGTCAGGGACAGTTGTTAAGGACCCTCAAGCCAGTTCTAACTCATACTGCCTTTGTATGAGGTTTCTGAGACTGGAAATCTCTGTGGGGGCTAAAAGCTTCGGTTTTCTCCTGAGAAGCAGTTGGTTGGCTTGAACTGCGATCTTGTGGTCTTACCCTAAAGAGCCACCACGCTCCTAGTCAGGGACAGTAGACATCAGTGTTGGCCAAGCCATGTAGAGCCTGGAAAGGGATGAGAGGGAAAGAGGACCCCCAGCTTCTCATTCCCTGGAGGAACTCATGGACAGTGGGGCTTTCTGAGCTCCCAGGGGCTCCTTGGGGATCCCAGTGGCTCCTAGTTGGGCTGCTCCCCAACCCCGGGCCTCTCTCCCCAGGGACCCTTCCAGAAGTGCAGGCAGCACCCCACAGCCACTCCCAGAAACAAGAATGTTTCCGATGTATCTGACAGAGTTTGCTGATGCTAGCTGGGGAACCAGTACAGTGAACTAAGCTGGAGTCTGTTACTCGTGAATTGAGCTCGGCTGGATGTTTCAGCTCGTTCACCCCATCTGCTCCCACCCACCCACACACCCATCTTCCATGTCCTGAAGGCCTCGCACCAGCACTCCCCTCCCAGTCTGTCTGGCCTTGACACGGACCACCTCCAGCGCTCTTTGCTCTCCGTGCTCCGCCCTGCTCCTGAGTCCTCCCTCCCTGCAGTCCTGCCGCCCCTAGAGCCACAGGACCAACAGTGGAGGGGTTGGGCCTGGGTCTCAGCTACGTGGTCCAGAAGGAAGTGATAAGACACTGTAGACCCAGGTACCACTCTGCTCAGCCTGGGTTTCACCATCGGGCATTACCCGTGGAGCAGAGGAGCCAATCCTGGAAAACGGGATGGTGTCTCATTCGGGTACAGAAAGGGGTTCCGTGGGCCCCTTCCCCTAGGTCTGCTCCCTCACGAGCCCCACCTCTGCTCCTGTCGCACTCTGTCCCTCCTTAATTTGGCCTGTGCTGCCCATGAGAACCAGGGTCCTTGTGCTAACACAGCCTGGACCGTGTGAACACAGGCAGTGCCAGGGCAGGCCTCACAGTCCTGCTTCTTGGTGCTTCGAGCCAGGCCAGACCCCCACCGCGCTGCTGCTCCTTGACCTCTCAGCTACTCTCAGGGCTGGCCCCCCACACCCCCTGCACACACTTTGTTACATTTGGGGAGAGCATTTTACTCCTTCCTTCTGACTCAGAGCTGCACCAGGTCCTGTGGGTGCCCTGCGGGCTCTAATTCCCTTCCTCTTCTGTCTGAGGAGGGATTCAGTGCCCAGCTTGAGGGCCTCAGGGGAGAGTGGTCAGCACAGGTGACACTCCCTGTGACCCTTTCTGGACAATTCCTAGTACACAGTGGCTACCCCAGAGAAGGTCCCGGTAATGCCTGTTTAAAGACTGGAGGGGCTGTTCTGTGTGGGGAGAATGCAGCAAAGGTTTACAGCGGGCCGGGCGCAGGGGCCAGGGCACAGGATGTCAGCCCACGAGACCGTATGCCTCGGGACAGCTGGGACCATGTCCATCCTTGTTCCTGCTGCTTCTCCAGCGCCTGGCCCCTGTGACATGAAGGGCCCTGTCACCGCCCTCCACCCGAGGGGGCCGAATCTGCCATTGCTCCGGTGCCTTACCACAACCCAGGATTCTACCATGACCCCTGGACTGTAGCCAACAGGCCTCGCCAGCCTGGGCCTGGAGGTTAAGGAAACTGTCTTATACTCTTCCTGTCCTGCTCTTCCAGGGGGAGGTGACCATCCACTACAACAAGCTGCAGGCAGACCCCAAACAGGGCATGTCCCTGGACATCGGTAAGCCAAGCCCCAGGCCCCTTCCACCCCTTCCCCCACCCAGAGGAGACCCCGGCCCCTGGCCGATGCTTTGTGACAGCGGTGTGGATGGTGACAGGGCTGAGTTTGCAGCCCTGCTCTGACCTAGTGGATCCAAAAGGACTGGGTACTACTCTCCCTACGGTGGTCCCCCAGGGCCTGCACCTCACCCAGGTCCCTCTGTAAACTTCCAGGGACTCCATTGGTCCTGTGTCCACATTGAATCTGGGTCTGAGTCACTTGTCATTGTGCCCATTCCTTGGATGTAACCTGCTCCCATTGGACTGGGACACCCCAGGAGGGACGGGTCAGCCAGGCTGAGCCAGGCTGCTGTAGACCTCTTGGGTAGCCAGGAGCCAAAACCTCGTACCAGGCCTGGCGAAGCCCTTCCCCTGTTTACCTCCTTTGGTCCTCACCTTCACTGACCTAGGCAGTGATAGGCAGGGGCCCACTGCCCCATACTGGGACACCCCTTGTTTCATAGCTGACCCGAATGCCCAGCCCTAGTTCACTTCGTATGGCTCCCAGTGAGTCGTGCTGAGGCAGGGTTGGGATGGCCTGGGGGCCCAGCCACCAGGTCCACTGTGTGGCTCCCTCCCTGCTGGCCCTAGTGCTGAAGAAGGTGAAGCATCGGCTGGTGGAGAACATGAGCTCGGGAACCGCAGATGCCCTGGGCCTGAGCCGGGCCATCCTGTGCAATGGTGAGTCCACTCCTCACTGCCTTGGCCTTCCTTAGCCCTGGCCACTAAGCCACAGCGGGCTCCCCTGGACATCCCCTGGACAGGCCCACAGCTGTCAGCTCAGCCGTCCTCAGTCCTCAGCCGTGTCCGAGGCACAGCAGGGAGACCGAGGTGCAGATGGGAGCCAGGAAAGGTAGAACTGGGCTGGCCTGTGGGACTGGGCCTTCCCCTGTCCCTGCTGCTGTCTTCTCATCAGACCACAGACCCTCCCAATCCCCCCCAGCCCCTCCCACTGCTCCTGGACCGTCCCGCTCAGCCCCGCCTTTCTCTAGGAGGTGACGCAGCTGCACTGTCCTCTCAACTCTGTCCAGGGCTCCAGGGTGGCTGCCCACCAGGAGGCAGGAGGACAAGGCGTGTACATGCGTGTCACCCAGGGGGCCAGTAGAACAAGGTCCGGCTGTGCTGTCTGCCCTCACGCTTTTGCTGTGTGGAACATCGATATAAACACCTCCATGAAGTGGCAGCTCCGCTGCGCACACACACCAGTGCTTTATTGGCTGCGGTGGGGGTGGGGGTGGGGCCTGCGTGCGCTCCAAATGGTACAAAAACGGTGGTTGCTATTTTCAGCCTCTCGGCCTATCAATCCCTGTTACTGTAGTTACCACACGTGGAGATGGAATTAGAACGAGTGGTTGTGTTTTTTCCCCAAACCTTACAATTTCCCCAGCCTTAAATAGGATTGCTAAAATTGAAACTGTCATGATGTCCCATGATCCAGCTAAAAACAACAGTGCAGCACTTATGTGGCTCTGACCCTGCAGGCTGGCTGGGCACCAGGGTGAGGGTGAGCTGGGGCATGGAGGCCAGCCAGGGAGAGCAAGGCTTCCTGAAAACCCCAAGGTGCACCCTTCTCCCAGAGCCTGAGCCTTCCCTACCCGTCCCCCAGCCCCCTCCTGTGCCCCAGCCCAGACCTAGACTTGGCCTCCCCATACCCTTCCTCCACCCTGCTCAAAAGTCCCTATCAAGGTCAGCACACGGGACAGTGTGGCAGGAACAGTCCCTGGCTGTGTGGTGTGGACACGCCACTGTATTCTCTGTCCCTTGGCTTGCTCAGTGAATGGGGGCGGGGTCCCTTCCCCAAAGGCTGCTTTGAGTATCAGCATGAGGCATTTGTGAGGAAGCATCTGAGAGGCCCTCCAGCCGCCTCAGTGTTCTTGTGGGGAGGTGGGGTACAGAGTGAAGGGACAGCCCCAACCCACCTGCCCCACATTCTCTGGGATGGAAAAATATGGTGACCAGGGCCTCCCTCCTGTGTGAGCCCTTCCGCGAAGTCCTGTGTGAATCTCTCTCCTCCCCACATGGCACTCTCCCTTCTGAGAAGGCCCAGCGTCTGTGCTTGCGACCACATATGGCCGGCGCTAATGATGTTCCTGTCTTCTCCTTTCTGTGTCTGGCTGCTTTGTTAGATAGAGTGAGGGTGGGCTTACTGCCAGGGGCTTCATTCTGCTCTCCTCAGGAAGATTTTGGTTTGGGGGCTTTTCATTCAACATTGCAAGTTCCCGAATTACCATCAGCATCTGCTCCCTTAAGGGGCCCCGATGAAGCAGTAGGTGAAATGTGGGCTGCTCACCATAAGGCTGGTGATTCAAATCTACCAGCCTCTCTGTAGGGGCAAGAAGAGGTAGCCTGTGTCCTCGAGTTGCTCCTGTGAGCCCTAAGGAGTAGCTTGACTCTGTTTTGCAGTGTTACTGTGAGTCGGAATTGACTCAATACATTGGGAGTCTTGGGGGGCTATCTGCACCTTCTATTTGCCCTGCTGGTTATGTGGGCTACTCTCCGAAGGCCCTAAGAGCAGCCCTGCCTATCCCCCACTCACCTCTCATTTGGGTGTCCTGAGCTATTTACAAAATAGCTTGGCACCCACCTGACCCCGAGGTCCTGGGAGCCAGGTTTGTGGGGGGCCACCGCTCCCTGTCCGGACCTGGCTCAGCCACTTGTCTCTGGGCTCCCTGCAGATGGGCTTGTCAAGAGGTTGGAGGAGCTGGAGCGGACTGCCGAGCTGTACAAAGGTGACCAGGGGCGTGAAGATGGGGGCAGTGGGGACCAGGATGGCAGCCTAGCATGTTCTAGGGCCTGCGGGCTGGGGGTCCAGACGAGACCTACTCCTTTTTGCTTAGAGGAGTAGCACGTGCCCAGATAATGGTACCAGCAGCATAGTGAGGCACCAGAAGCCCCCTCCCTGAGAGCTAAAGCCTGTGCCCTGGGATCACCTGTGGACTTTGATGTCCTGGTCCCCTGTCTGCTGGGGCACCTCAGGGTGGGGCGGGGCCAAGTCAGGGAAGCCAGCCCAGAGAGGGCTTCAGGTGAGGCCTGGGGCTGGAGATGGTGCCATCAGTCCTGGGTGGGGTCTCTCCACAGGGATGACAGAGCATACCAAGAACCTCCTCCGGGCCTTCTACGAGCTGTCCCAAACACACCGGGGTAAGGACGTACCCGGCCCTGCCCACCAGCTGCCTGGCCGCTGCCTTGCACAGTGGCTCTTAGTATCCCCATCCTCTTCCCTTTTTTTCTTCCTCCCAAGTATCCTCCAGGGGGGTAGGCTTCCCTGAGGTGGGCCCCTTGGGCTCTCACAAGCCTGGCCTGCATCCAGGGTGGGCAGACTTGGTTCTTGCAGGTCACAAGCAATGTGGACGGTGCCTCTGAGGGTACACTACACGGAAGTCAGTCACCCGCCTAACCCCCTCCATCGTACACCCTGCACTGGTCTCTGTCCACAGGGTGGGGTAGAGTGGGCTGGTGGGGGACACACGAGACGACAGGTAGAGTGAGAGTTGTCGTGGGGCCCAGTGGCTCATGTGGTCTGACCTGTGTGCACTACCACTGACAGAATGCAAGGCCCTCCCTAGCCTGCTTCTATCCCATAGGCTGGCCAGGGTGGGCAGCACTTTGCCAGACAGAGGAAGTGACCACATGGCTCCAAAGGGCTTCAGATTCCCAGACCAGTGCTCTGTCATCAGACAAGGCTGCCTCCCCAAACCTTGACCATGCCGTGTCTGTAGACTGGTCACTCTGAGGAAGACCACCTCCCTCAGGGGTGTAGACCCAGCCTCTAAGGAGTATAGCTTCAGATCCCTCAAAGCATAGACCCACCTCCCATGGAGTGTAGACTCGAATCCTTGGGATGTAGACCCTGCTCCCATGGAGTGTAGACTCGGATCCTTGGGATGTAGACCCTGCTCCCATGGAGTGTAGACTCGGATCCTTGGGATGTAGACCCTGTTTTCATGGAGTGTAGACTGGGATCCCTTGGAATGTAGACCCAGCTCCCTCAGGGCAGGGATGGGGGTGGGCGGTGGACTTTGTACAGGCCTTGGCTCTCAGCCTGCCAGGTCACCAGCCCTAATTCTCCCTTGCAAGCCCCCGATGTCTCCATTAGAGGGCTCTGTAGGGATGGCCTTCAAGGCAGACTTGTTGTGCAGCCTTTGGGGACGTGTTCTCTGTGATCGGGGTACGGGAGCCCCAGCCAGCCGCCAGTGAAGCGTTTGTGAAGTTTGCTGATGCTCACCGTAGCATTGAGAAGTTTGGCATCCGACTGCTGAAAACCATCAAGCCGGTAGGTGACATCACGTATGCCTGGGCTCAGCATGTAAGGGTGGAGAGGGGACAAGGAGATGTGCAGGAATACTGTGTTGGAGTTAGTTACCCACCGACCCCGGCTACCCTGGGTTAGCCGCCCTCCTCCTTGGGCCGCAGTGGGAACTCCTGCTGGCTCATGGCCTGACTTTACCTGTGAGCGGCAGGTGACCGCCTTCTGCTTTCAGAGTCCTCATCTTTGAAGTGGACAGGACTCTTGAGTTCCCTGGGGGGTGCTGACACATCAGTGTCATTGTTTCGTCACCTTGGTCTAGTCCAGCCACAGGGGTCTTAGGATCCACACACCCCTCCCTCCTCTCCCTTCCAGATGCTGACAGACCTGAACACGTACCTCAACAAAGCCATCCCCGACACCCGCCTTACCATCAAGAAGTACCTGGATGTGAAATTTGAGTACCTGGTGAGTGGTCTGTGGGCCTCAGGGAGGATGGGGTCTGGCCTGTGGGTCTGAGCTGATCCTGGGGGTTTGGGGCTGGCCCACTAGCAGCATGAGCAGGGCCCAGGTCTCCCAGTATGCTGGGCTGGTGTAGGAGGTGCCCAGGGAATCCAGCTGCAGTGTAGACCCTGCCCGGCTGCCCTGAGGAGCCTCTAGGAGGCTGAGTACCCAGTTGGCAGGGGCCTCCCTCTGGTCCTCTCTGAACCTTAGACGTAGACTAGGTGAGTGGTGGGAAACTGGGTGCTAAGGGATGTTGATGAGTTTACATTTAAATGACAATTCTGTGGTCAAGAGAAGTTGAGAAAAATGCTGTCCTAACCACTCAGGGGTACCTTAGCTGCAGGCCTTGTCAGAGCCTTTGACGGGCCTGGCACCCATGGCTTCAAGGGTCTTCCCAGTGCACCTGACCACGGAGCCTCCCTTCTCCAGAGCAGCTCTTAGGACTGGAGTTTGGCAAATCCTCAGGCCCTCCCTTCTGCCACCCCACTCGGGCCCCCCAGAACAAGATCCACTCATGCTTCTATGGCCTGGCCCCTCCTGGGGTGGCCTGGGGTGCAGTGTGGGGACATGGGGGTGAGTCCAGGAAGCTGGAACCCTCTGACCCTGCCTGTCCGCAGTCCTACTGCCTGAAGGTGAAGGAGATGGACGACGAGGAATACAGCTGTGTGGTGAGTATGCGGGGCTCCCCAGGACCCCCGGAGTGCCCCTAGCCTGGCAAACTGGCTGGATCTTTGTACCCTGCCCTGCTGTGGGCCCTGCTGCCTCTCTCAGTCCTCAGAGGTGCCTCTTCTTCATTCTTGTCTTCCCGGGTGCAGCCTAAGGTGGCAGGGCTGGGGGTCGTAAGGTCGTTCTTTTCTCCCTCCAAAGCTATTGCTTCCAACCAGGAGCCAGGGTGGCCTTGAGAGGCTGGTGTGCATGCAGGGTGTGAGCGGGTGGCCCAGCAGAGCTCACTGATGTATTACCCCCAACCCCCAGGCCCTCGGGGAACCCCTGTACCGAGTGAGCACAGGTAACTACGAATACCGCCTGATCCTGCGCTGCCGCCAGGAGGCCCGCGCCCGCTTCTCACAGATGCGCAAGGATGTGCTGGAGAAGATGGAGCTACTGGATCAGAAACACGGTGAGCAGGGGCATCGGTCCTGCCATCCCGAGCATGCTGGGCTGGGCACCCCAACTCAGAGATGGGGCGACAGACCCTGAGGGCTAAAGCCACTGCCGAGGTCCCAGTCCTGGCAGAGCTGGGGGCCGAGGGAGGCTGGCAGCCATAGTCACGGCATGCGGGCCTGCCTCCCTCCCCAGTCCAGGACATCGTCTTCCAGCTGCAGCGTCTCGTGTCCACCATGTCCAAGTACTACAATGACTGTTACGGCGTGCTGCGTGGCGCCGACGTCTTCCCCATCGAGGTGGACCTGGCGCACACCACGCTGGCCTACGGCCCCGCACAGGAGGACTTCACCGATGGGGAGGATGAGAATGAGGACGACGTCGACACAGCAGCTGGAGAGCTGTCCCGGAACACGCGAGGGGCTGCTGGGCCCCTGGACAAGGATGGAAGCTGGGGTGGCTCCTGAGTGCCCCATGGGGTGTGGCTCTGGGGGCAAGGGTGAGTGGGCGGATAGGGGGCGTGGGACAGGGCTGCCGGACCACAGGGTGCCGCATAAAGGCCTGCTGGCTTGGGTCGCCTGCCTCCCTGCTCCTCTGTCCTAGCACACTGGCCTGGGACACTGGCCCGCTGGCCTGCCTTGCCCCTTCCCATCTGTGGGGACCTGGTCTTTGGACCTGTCTTAGGAAGGAGAGGGCCGAGTGAAGAGGGGCTGGAGGAGGCATGAAACCCAGGATCATCCTTGTGGGTCACCTTCGCTGGTCCCACCTGGAACCTCCAGGAGTGGGAGAATGAGGGTGGGTTGCTGAGGTCACGACCAGCGTCTCCTGCCCCCCCAGTCCTCACACCTTGGCGGCCTTTATTTATTGTGTTCCCCGAGCTCCGCCGCCTCTCTGGGGAAGGCTGGGCACGGAGCTGTATTTAATAAACACAAACCCGGATGGAGCCGGCTCTTTACATTGTCCTCACACCTCCTGTCCCTTGACCTCCCTGCGTCGACCTCCACACTCATGAGTGCGGGCGGGGGGTGGGGGGGCACTGACAGGCTTTCACTAGAGCCGTTTATTCCTCACCACGGCTCAGCGACACTGACACTGTCATCCCCTTTACAAATGGGGAAATTGGAAGCAAAATCTCTTGCTCAAGGCCACACCAGGTGCAGCGGCTAAAGTGGGATTTGAACTCAGATCTGTGAGGTTCAAAAGGCTTGACTTTTCCATTTGTTCCTGAAGCTTCCAGCTGTGTGGGGCTCTTTACTGCCTTCCCTCATGGACCCTTCAGTGCTGCTGCCTGTGAAGTAGCCTTTACTGGGAGGCCAAGACAGATGCTGGGGAGGGTGCCCCAGCCACTCCAGCTGTGCCTGCTCTGCCCTGGGCCCTGGAGACACTGGGTGGCCATGTGCCCTGCTCAGCCTGGGGTGGTCCAGGCAGCCACATGATTATTACCGGGCCCCTTTCCTCTCTCGGAGTGTCTCTGAGTGGACAATGAGTCCAGTGATCATCTGAGGAGGTGTGAAAGATCTGAGAGGTGGGCAGATTAGGGTGGAAAAGACAAGTGTTTATTAGTGTTGCGTGTACAGGTTCTGGGCAGAAACCAAATGAGGGGTCTCAGGCAGGATTAGTGGCCTGGGGAGGCTGTCTACTCAGAACCACCAGACAGACTGAGCTACCTCTCTGAAGGGGGCAGTGCAGGGTGGCCAAGGACAGCCTGGACCAGAGCCTCAGTCGCCCTGTCTGTGAAGTGTGGACGGTGTATCCCCCTCATCAAGAGTAAATGAATTCACAGTTGTAATGGGCTTAGTGTGGGCTGCCACCAAGGAAGCACTGAGGATGTGTTTGTTCAGACGGTGACCTGCTGGGGTCGCTCTAGAGTCTGGGAGCTGCCGGAGCGGTGGGCAGCAGTGTCACTTCAGTGTCTGTGAGGAGCCGCCTAGAAGTCCTTGCTGGGGCCGCTCCCCACAGAAGGCACAGAAAGGGGCTCGTCAGTTTATCAATTCCTGGAACACAAATCAGTACAGAGGGAACAGAGCTGCACCTGCATTTTGGAATCCAGAAAACCAAAGTGCAAGAGAGGACAAGCCCCTTATCGCCCTGGTGGGGGAAGCAGAGGCAGGGACAACAGGGTGACCAGGCTGTCCACAGAGCCACAGTACGCCACCTCCCAACACCCCGGGGAGTTTGTCCCCTAGAAACTGAGAAGACCTGGAGCTCAGCTGGGGTGCTCGCTTAGGAAGGTGGGGGCTATGGTGACCATGCAGAAGCAGCAGAACCAATGCCGTTCCTGCCACCAAGCCCGCCACGGGACACTTATTCACTCCATTGCCAGTGTGTGAAAGAGGCTCCGGGCTAGGGAGGGTTCAGCCCCCACCCCGCGGCCTTTCCCTCTGAGCAGCCCCCAGCCCTGAGCTGCATCTGCTGCCCACCCTCTGTCCGTACGTCAGGTCACTGAGAAACCTCGGAGCTTCAGGGAACAGCTTGGGGCTGTGCCTGCCATGAGCCCACCCCTTGAGGCTCCCGACCCTCACTCCTGACGTACTGGGAACCCCACTCATAGACAGTCCACTGTGGGAACTCATCCCCCCTTCTCTCTAGCAGACCTGATAGAATCCTTGGTAATGTGACCAATTTTAATCATAGAATACTATGTGATAAACAGAACTGTAAATTGCTTAAATATAATCTTTCTTAAAGCATGAACACAATTATTTTTACCACATTTTTTCGACATTGAATTGCATTACATTAGTAACTGAGCAGAAGCCATTACATTAGTAACTGAGCAGAAGCCATTTAAATTTCTCTCCTTTACTAACTACTTCATTCTAAAAAGTGTTGACATAGGTTCACAAATACTAATTACTGCAACATTGTAGCTAAAACACCAGGAAATTTGACAAAATCAGCAACTATAAAAACTCCGGCAGCAATTTCAACCACAGTTTGTGTTTGTAGCACCTGCAGACGAAGCAGGTGATTGGAAGCATCACTGTAATGGGCCATTACGGACAGCGCTGATGGGAGTGCGTCAACTAGAAGGTTCAGAAAGGAAATCGGCAGAGTGGTAGCCATGTAGGTACACTGCGACAAGTAAGCTGGGCTTCTGGAAAATGCTTTTGTTATTGTTAACTGCAGGTATATTTTATGAAAATTCATTTCTGCTGGAGGTGGTTCAAGCTCACCAGCTGCTCCTCGGAAACCCTGTACAGGGTCGTTATGGGTCAGAATCGACTCGATGGCACTTAACAACAACTGTTAAGTGCAGTCAAGTTGGTGGACTATAGAGAGGCATTTTCAGTTTCACCTGGAATGATCCATGCCCCTGTAACCCCCTTGTCACACCACTGCCCAGATGTCCCTCGCAGATGCCCCCCTACCAAGCAATGGAAGCCCAGGGCACCAGAAGAGAAGTGGCCGTTTTAGCTGAGCTCTGAGATTGTTTCACATGGCCCGACCCTGTCTGTCCACAACCCACTTCACTGAGTGGGAGGCAGGGCCGCCATGGTCCACTGGGTGAGGGAGGGAGGTCTCTGGAACCAGTCTGGAACCTCAACTCGGACCCCAGGGTGGTCACCTCAGACCAGCCTCCCAGTGCACCAAGTCCTCCCGGGGCAGTGGGGCTCTGAGAGGGGGAACCACCTTCCAGAAGCCACCCAGCCATCCTGCTACTGTTCCGAGTGCTGCACCGGCTTGGGGTTTGGCCCAGCATCCAGCTTGGCACCTGCCTCTGCCTCACGTTCCGTGGGCCTGGTCTGGGGGCTCTGTACCTCCAGGGGCTCAAGGCTTTCAAACTTTGCTGCCCTGATAGGCAGGGTCTCAGTGTCCCCTTCAGCCTCAGCATCTTCAGTGTCACTGACCCCCATCCTCAGCATCTGGGCCAGGTAGGAGGTCCTGAGAGCCACGCAGGCCATGGTAGGTGGCAGTGGCCATGGAGAGTCCTGCGGGGACACCTCAGAGCCGGCCAGGGAGAAGATGATCTCGTAATTCTTCAGCACGTCCACAAGATGGCCTGGGGGTGGGGGGTGGGGAGGACGTACAGCAGTAAGGCCTGTGGATCTGCTTCATCTCCCCACATCATTTGCCCAAGGAGGGGTCTGCCATTTGAGTCCTTAAAATGTCACTGCTCCTGTCTAGACCTCATTCATTGTGAGGTGATACTGGGCCATTGGTGAGGCCCTGTGGGGTGGGGTGGCGCATTGGGCTCAGCCCTGCTCTCTAGGGGACTTTCAGCTCTTACTCTTCTCATTTTCTCCCTGGTCCCAGGAGGCCCATGAGCTGGGAAGAGACAGCACATCTGTTCTTTATTTTCCAAGTTTTCTATCACACAAGACTTTCATAATCAGGAAAAACCTCTTCATTGTAAATACTTTTCCCTGACGTGTGGTTCCTTTGGGCTCTATCCTCACAGCCAGCTGGGAGCCCTGGGTGGACATCTCTGTGGCCTAGGGCTCTCCCACCTGAGTCCCTGGGAGGAATACTTCCCGAAACCTGCCACAGCCTGGTCACTGCCTGCCAGTGGGCCTTCCCACACTCAGTCATATGTTGTCTTACTCACTCCCACTGCTACCGAGTTGATTCCTACTCTACTTAGTAGAACTAACGGCTCTTCAGGGGTTCTGAGACTATAAATCTGTATAGAAGCCGATAGCTTATGTACTTCGAGGAGCCGTTTGAACCTCCAGTCTTGTGGTCAGCAGTCCAACCTTAACCCACGGCACAGCCAGGACTCCGTCCACCCTGTCTCTGTCGAGTTGGTTCTGACTCATAGCGACCCAGGTGCGGCTGATGGATTTGAACTGCCGACTTTGCAGTTAGCAGGCCAGTGCGTATCCTACAGAGCCACACCAGGATTCCATGGTGTTTTAGTGTGATAAATCATACTGGCTTCTTCCCTTCTTCCCTGCCCTTTAGGTCCACCTCAGGTCAAATGAGAACCCAGAAAATGGATCCCTGAGCCTCTGGGGGAGAAAGCGGGGGCTGTTTCTGAAGCTTTTGGTGGTGGGCTTTGGGTTCCCCCACACTCTAGCTCAGGGTCTTTGCTGTCAGACCTGTCAGGTGAGATGACAAGTGACGACAGGCTCAGGAGCCCAGGCCACAAAGGCAGCCTCTCGGTCATCCGTCCACCACGGAGCCTGAGCGCCGCCCTGTCTGGCTGAAAAGGCAGGTCTCACTGTTGTGGACAAACTGCACTTGGCATCAGTCCTGTCTGCTGGTGGCAGGAATCGGATGGCCGTGTGTCCTCCCTGGCCTGGAGAGTTTGGCGCAGATTGTGCTCATTATAGGGGCCCCTTTCACACTCCGAGTGTCCCTGTGTGACAGTAAATTCTGTGATGGTCTGAGGAGGGAGCTGCCTAGTGAGGTCTGAGACGTGGGCAAAGTCCAAAGTGGAAAAACAAACAAAAACAAGTTTTCTGCTTATTAGCATTGAGTGGCAGGTCAAATTGGGTTTTCAGACAAGACTGGGAATGCTGAGGGAAGGAAGGGCTGTCACCAAGAGTGCACAGGAGACCATAGGCCACACCTGTATGGGAACACTGTTCCAAATACCCTGTGCTGGCTCCTATTGGGTCCCACCCTGACCACAAGATTTCCTGGTCCTTGTGTTGAAACCATCAGCACCTTCCCGTCTTCTCGCTGTCACCCACTGAGAACCCCACTCTAGGCCTGGTCCCAGGCCATGCCCCTATCCCTATTTCCCTTTGAGGCTGGGAGTCCACAGTTCTAACTTAGGGACTGTAACATGCACTAATCTGCATGTGAGCATCTGTGCTTCACATTCCTGTCTGAGAACTGCTTGAGGTGGGGCTAACTGGCCATACGGGTGGGTCCTCCACCCAATGGACTTCCCTTGGACTTAGGAGCCCTAGGCGGCGCCACGCCTCCTCCCGCGGGGCCCACCGGCAGAGGGTGGTCCGATGAGCACCGCCACAGCCTCCACACGCAGCAGCAGGCCCAGCGCGCTAGGGAAGCAGGGCGCCCACCATGCCGTAAGAGAGCCCGAAGGCTACGCAGAAGGCCACCAGGGCGCCGTAGGAGCGCGCGCTGCCTATGTCGGTGAGCCCGTTGGCCAGCAAGGCCAGGCTGAAGAGGTAGGCGACGTACAGCTGTAGGCTCCCCAGGCCCGCCAGGGCGCCGCACGTCGGCCGCGCCACGATGTCCATGAAGCCCCCGATGCACAGCAGGAAGGTGGCGTCGGCGTCAGGCACTCCCGAGTCCTTGGCGTAGTTCACCAGCAGGATGACAGGCACGAAGCGCCATCAGGAACTTGGTGACCACGTACACGACGAAGGCGGGCTCGGCGCACATGGCCACGTCCAGTGGGCGGTGTCGGATCCGGCCGCCAGGGGGCGCGTCGCCCAGGCGCAGCCCGGCGCCGCCCGCTTCCACCTCCTCCGCGGTGACCCTGATGCCGGCTGGGCGCGGTCCAGGAGGCGGCAGCATGAAGGCGCCGCACGCGCAGCAGTGCCCCAGGTGGCCCCCCGAGCAGCAGAAAGCCCCCGTGCCAGTCGAAGTGCTCCAGCAACCTCTGACCCAGTGGCTACAGCGCCTACAGGAACATGGGGCAGCACGCCTTCGCCAGCCCATTGGCCAGAGGCTGCCTGCGCTCTAAGTACAGCCCAAGCGTGATGAGCAAGCGCTGGACGTTGAGGGCCAGAACCAGGGGAAACTGAACCCGGAACTTGGAGGACCGTCACTCGGGGAAAACTGGGGCTGGTGGTCTCTAAGTCAGGACACCCCGTCCCCCAGTCTGCCCCACATGGGAGGAGAGTGGTGGGCACCCTCACCTGTGAGCACTCCAGCGGTCAGGTACAGCTCCAGGAGGTGCGTGGTAAGGGAGGCCAGGATCATGCCTGCCGAGGCCCACAGCCCACCCACCAGCATCACCGAGCAACAACCAAAGCGGCTCACAAGGATGCTGGACACGGGCAGGGCCTGTAGGCAGGGCAAGGTGGTCACTGCAGCCGGACCAATCTTCTCTCAGGCGGACACCGGGCTCCAGGCTTTGTGCCTCCTCAAATGGTTAGGGTTACCCCTGGTTCAGGGACCCACAGGGCAGTATCTGGCCAAGTCACACAGCTGGTGGGGACAGATCAAGGAGACAGTACCCTGCAAGAGGTCAGGTAAGGAACATGACCTGGCCAGAGCCCATTCTCCTGAGCCCAAAGGAGGAGGAGCACACGCCATTCCACTGTATTTATATTCACAGACTCCAAGTCCCCAGGGGGCACAGCTGAAGTCCCCACTGGGATGCCTTGGCAGGTTTTCCCCCTAGGGCTGGCTCAGTGACCAGAGGTGGGTAGGGTGAGAACTCTAGATCAGAGTGGTGAGGAGAGCAGGGTTTTCTTGACCTGTTTCCCCACCTGTAAAATGGGTGACCAGGGTATGTTGGGCAGGAATGGAGGGGCCCTGTGGGCTGGCCAAGCTTGGACACTGTCTTCTCCCTCCCAGGCTAAAGTTTCCTGGGGTTTCTGCCCTCTCTAGGGATTCTCAGGGGCTGGTGCTCCCCAGTCCTGATTGTGGGCAGCAGGGAAGGGCCAGAGGGGGCGCTGACCAGTGCCGTAGAGCATGGCCAACGTGATGGATGACACCCAGGCTGTGTCGTTGTAGCCGGCACCAACGTTGGTCATGAGCGCATGGAAGAAGACACTCATGGCCTTGGGGAAGCCATAGGCGAAACCGGTGACCATGAAGCAAGTGCCCAGCACAGCACAGCCCCAGCCACCGTCCGGAAGACCCATCGCTGCAGTCTGTACTGGGGGAGGGAGAAATAGGGGTACAAGAGGAACCTGGAGGTGGGGGGGGGGCGGGGATGCAAGAGGGACCAGAGTAATGGTGTAACCCAGACGAAGTAGGAGACCCAGGGTGGAGTAACAAAGGCTACCCAGGCCAGCCCTGCTCAGGCATGGAGCCAAGAGGGGAAACCCAGGTAGGCATCTCCTAAGGGCATTTGGATGGGAAAGAGGACTATAGGAGAAGGGTAGTAGGGAGTCATTCCTGCCTCAGACTTGACTTTTGGAAGGCACTTCTTGCAGGAGTGGGTCCTGTGAATGTGAGAGCCTCAGAGATGCATAGGGACCCATGTCCCCAGTATGCACGTACGAGGGCCTCAGCACAGGGAATGAACACAGGAGGGCTTGTAAAATATAACTATCTGGGTGGAAGTTACTTTTTTCTTGTCTGTATGATCCTGATTTTTCTCAGAGTAATAAAGAATGACTTGTGCGTGTCATCAGACCTTGAAAATATCCCACCTGAATTTAGAGATCATCTGAAGAACAGATTTGATACATCAGACACTAAAGACGAAAGACCAGAAGAGTTGGGGGATGACATCAAGAACAGCATACAGGTAGAAAGCAAAAGGTTAAGAAGCCAAGAAAGAAGGGAAAGACCAAAATGGATGTCAGAAGAGACTGAAACTTGCTCTCCAGTATAGAGATGTTAAAGCAAATGGAAGAAATGAGGAGGTTCAAGAGCTGAACAGAAATTTTCAAAGGTCAGCTCCAGATGCCAAAGTCAAATATTATAACAA